TTATAAAAGTGAATTCACGAATTACACAATTTTTTGTTTTTTTTCTCTCACTGTTGAAAGTTATTCGGGTCCAGTTGACTCGACGTTTTGGTTTTATCACCCCCTAAAGGGGTACACAGTTACCTACTACCTACAGTTCTCAGTCTCGTTCACGCCATGTAGAACACAGTTTACGACAATCCAGATTGGGAAAGTATCGCTCCCACATTTCAAGTTGATCATTATGCTTAAGTGCCTTGTATTGATGATTGTATATTTCCTCTGGTCTTTGCTGACATTAACGTGTTTTCTATTCCGTGCTTATCCCCCTACTACAGAAAAACTAATATGAGAGTGGTCTCCTGGAACATAAATGGATGTGGGACGACAATCAGGGGTAGCTATCCTTTTTCATAAAAAAATTTCTTATAGCATAGACCATATCACTGCCGACCATGAGGGGCGTAAACTGTTGGTGAAAATTAAGATTCACAATAAAACATATTCGTTATATAACTTTTACTTCCCCAATACCCCCCCGATGGCCTAGCCACATTCCTGAACTACCAGCAATTCTCAGGTCTGTCGATAAATGCTGCGAAATCTGTGGTTTTACCTCTCACCTCACATGCGACAAACTCTTTAGCGACATCTCGGACATTTAGCATTGCCAAAGGTCCCATTACATATCTCGGCCTGCGGATTGGTAAAACCCCGGCCTCTCTATACGACTTGAACTACCCGCCCCTCTTTGAAAAGATTCGTAAAGAACTACACTTGTGGAGGGACCTTCCGATCTCACTCTTTGGCAGAATACATCTTGTAAAAATGATCCCTTTTGCTAGACTTTTATATCCTATGCAGACACTACCTATCCTCCTGAAACACAAAGATATAACACAGTTAAACAAAGCTTTTCTAGCCTTCATATGGAGGGGTAAAAAGGCAAGGATATCGCTGCAAAAACTTTTTCTGCCAAGGGGTGAGGGAGGAATGGCTTTCCCAAACACAAGACTATATAATCTGAGTTGCCTACTTAGACACTCAGCTGATTGGATTGGATCCTCCTCCCACTACTCAAACTTTCACCTGGAAACAGAGATGGCACATCCCTGGAGACTTTCCAACCTTCTACATTGCCCCTTTTCTAAAATCCCCGTAACTCTAAGATCCAATGTTATTATTAGAGACACAGTAATTGCGTGGAGGGAGTCTCATAAAATGGTGAAAGCCAACCCGTACTTCTCCCAGTATGTGACCCTGAAAGGAAACCCATCATTCCCTCAGGGGGAGGAATATGACACTTTTACCAAATGGGAGACCAAGGGGATTACTAAATTCGCACAGCTCTTATCCCCGGACACAGGTAGGAGATTAACGTTCCAGGATTTCAGGAGGACATACCAGAGACCCGCACATGAGTTCCTACACTTCCTACAGGCGACAACTCATCTAGATAAGCTTGGCTCCACTGCATATACAGTAACCAATCATTCTCTCATTGGCAAGATCACGACCACAGACAGGCAGTCTATATCGAACATCTACTCTCACCTGAGACAGACATACATCCCCCCTTTGACAAGCTCTAATTTGTCAAAATGGCAAAACGACATTCCCAGTGAAGACTTGGTAGAGAAAATCCTGGTGGGGTACCGCTCCATTTGTAAGGCAATGGTGAACGAGCAATGGAGAGAGACTCAATTTAAGATAATACATAGAGCTTATTATGCATTCCAATTACAGCACACACCCATTCATGACCCAGGATATCTGAAGCACTGTCCCAAATGTCAAATGCCGGCTGCTCCACTATTCCACTGCCTGTGGCTCTGCCCCTCCATTCAGAATTACTGGAGAACGGCGATAGCATTTATGACCTCGGTGGTGGGTCAACAGATTGCGCTCGACCCCCTTCTACTTCTATTCGGATATTGGGACCTTCCTCTGGCGGTGAGCAAACACCACAGGCAATGGATAAATATAGCCTCCCTAGCAGCCAAACGCTGTATTATGAAAGAGTGGCTCTCCCCAAGCCCTCCCACCATACAGGGTTTACGACAGAATCTTCTGGAGCTTCTCCATGTGGAAAAACTGGATGCTGAGACCCAAAGGGAGGAGGATAACAGAGTGACTTTCTTTCTCAATAGATGGATGTCCTTTATAGACAGGATTTTTACTGCTCAAGAAAGGGAGTCATTCTTGTCCCCCTTTCAATACTCTACATACATGTTACGGTCTACGTTAGGGGGAAATCCATGATATTCATCAAGCTTATACAAAAAAAATTTTAAAGAACGAGATACCAAAGACACTTGTGAACCGTAGAGGTAGGACAATATATGTAAGACATGACACAAAGTAAACTAATAGTTAACAAGTTGATATGTTTAAACAAGAAAAAGAAAAAAAGAAGAACTGGTCAAAGCCTTGTTAATACAGCTGTTGCATAACGCACTCCGCTTTTGTTATGTATCTTATACTGGTCTGAGGCATCTGCGTATGCACTGTTTTTGTTTCTTGTTGTTTTACTTCTGACAATAAAATTGTTTAAATAAATAAAAAGCAGAGACTTCCCATTCATTCAGAAAATATTTTACTATCATCCAGTTTCTGAATGGGGAGGAGCCTCTGTATAGAGTGCTTCTTCCGATTGAGAAACTCATGAATGAACAGGAAGTGATGTAAATCACATCCTGTTCATTCATAACTGGGGACACATAGTACAATGTGTCCCCAGTGTTTGTCCTGCACAGGGGATTGGTACATATCACTGATATGTATCGATCTCTCCCACTCATCCACGCACACTGGGGCTCAGCTTCTCCTATGCATCCCCCCTGCTCTCCCGGGCAGAAGCAGCGGGGGATTCGAGAAGTGAAAGAAGCACTTCGGGGGGTAGATCACGATCGACCCTATGGGCACCCCTGCCTGCCTTAAGGCTTATTTAAAAAAGGAGAACTATGGGGAGAGTGAAATGTACTCATCACCATAGTTAGAGCCAACATGCGACACTGCAGCCATCACGTCGGCTCTATTGATTGAGAACTGAGGGATCACAAACCGATCTTCCCCCTGCAGGGAGCAGTGACCGTCACTGCTCCCTGCAGGGATTCCCAACTCCCCTCATTGTTCTTTCAGTGCTGACTGGAGGGACAGACAGGGGAGGGGGTGGGCACAACTGGTTCTGCCTCTAGAGAAGCCAATCAGGCAGCGGGGTCAGCTGGGTGGATCCTGTCAATATTGTCAGGATGTTTCCTGGCTGCAGCGCAGCTCTGAACTGTCAGCATATAGCGAAGCTGAGTTTTGGGTCACAGGAGGACATTAGTAAGTATCCTCCAGTGACCATAAAAAGAACTATAGCCAAAAAAGGTTTGGCCATAGTTCTCCTTAAGTCAGAAGAAAAAGTACCCCTCAGGTTATTTACCTATAGTACAAAAAGGATGAGAAACAAAAAAACATAATGACCCAAACACACTCCTTGAAGAGATCGTATAAAATGCAGTTTTCTTTATTTTTATGGAAAAAGCGACAGTAAGATTTGTAAAAGATTTGTGATTTGTTTTATACATATTGCCCATATGAAACTCAAAAAACAGAAAAAAAAACAAACATTGCAGAGAAGAAATAAAACAGTTTTTCCTTAGCAGTGCAATTCTTTCACATTGCAATGAACTGGTCAAGTATGCAACAGAAATAAAAAAAAAAAAAAAAAACATTTCTCCACTATTAGCATATCAAGAACTACAGTCCAAAGATCATTTAGATGTAATCATTTAAAACGGGACATCTTTGCAGTTCATCTGGAAATCCATCATCTGCTTGGACCCCTTGTATATAGTAGCACAGGAAGCTACCATGGCTGATTTAGGATAACCAGCCAATACGTCCACCTTCTGCTGTTCGGGAGGCTTGGCATTAGGAGTCAATTATTCAGATACAATTGTGCATTGTAGGGATGTCCCTATACAGGTACTAGCATCGGTATCAGGACCGATACAGGGCATTTTGACAAGTACTTGTCAAAATGCCCCGATACATAGCGCCGAAGCTTGCACTATTTTTTATTTCCTGACCTTCCGGCAGCTGTTCGGGAGAGCGAGCTGTTCGGGAGAGCGGCGGAGAAGCTCCAAACGGGGTCTTAATTTAGCTGGCAGGCGACCGGGCAGTGGCCGGCCAGCTAAATTAGGATCCCACCTGGAGCTCCTCCCACCGGACCAGCACTGACTCGCCACCGCTCTCCCCCGGACAGCGCCGACGACGACCTCACCAGCGAGGCACCATCATCGAACAGTGAGTGAGGGCAAGGGGGGGTCCCTATGTAGAAACTATTATTAGCAGAGGATAATGTAAATCGAATTGCCTGCAGTGTGTGCTCTATATGTACTACATATAGAATACACTGCAGACAATAGATTTACAATTATCCCCAGCTAATATGAATGGATTAAATGATCCATAGTACATAATATGTAGCTGTACTATGGATCATTAAACCCATTCATGTTAGTAGGGGAGAATTGTAACTATTACTGCAGAGTGTATTCCATATGTAGTACATATATATTTTACTCCTCTTTGCTACTACACAAATGGGTCCCAAGCAGAATGGACCTTTCCAGTTGAAGCGAAAACCCTCTTTAGTCATGTTCTGTCTAAATTAAAGATTTGGGCTTTTGCAGTTTTTACCTTGACAATACTGAGCATAAGAGAAGGGGGAGCGGGGATCTAAAGAAAATGAGTTTACTTACAAAGTTAAATAAGCCTATACAGCAATACAGTAAAAAATACAAATTAAATAGTGAGCTAACAGACCAAAATCTGAACACAGATTTACAAAAAAAAAAGAAGAAGTAGTAAACATAGATGCAGTATTGGTACAGTTAATTTAAAAAAAAAGCCAGTCTAGTTGCTTGTAAATTTTGTATTTTAAATGTTGCCCCAACATGCAGAGATTTAGGAATCTTAAGAACGGCATTGAATGTCTTGACGTACACAAAAAACTTAAATATCTTATCTTCATCTCGGCTCTTTTGGAATTCTACTTTGAAGTACTTAGAGGTCTAAAAATCAAAAACTTATATGTGATTTATTGGTCTCTGAACAGAAAGCTGTGCCCAGTTTGTCATCTTCGGAAAAGAAAAAAAAAAAAACCCAACCCAAAAAAACAAAAACTAGAATTTACAGTACATGATTATACGAAATTATAGTTTCACAAGTTTACATTGCATATTTCTGAGTCCATTCTCTTGCTATTCTGTTGTACCTGAAAAAGGAAAAAAAAAAAAAAAAAAAAAAAAAAAAAAAAAAATTCATTATAAGATCACAAAAAGTGATGACATTTAAAAAAGAACTCCAGGGAAAGTGATTAACCATTGCAGTGGGGCTGGGCTACCCCTGGCACTGCAAGGATTAAATGCTCATTTTGGTCTAGGGAGGAAATCAAAGTTATACTTACCTGATCCTCAGAGCAGGCTTGCTCTTGAACTGGTCCCTGGAACCTCCTACCCTCACTGCTGCAGTGGTCTAAGATCCTGTAAATAATCAATGTCTATACACCGTATATAGAATGTGAGGACGCAGAGGGACATGCCATTGCTGCAGCATAGGAGAGAAATTGGGGGGGGGATTGCAGTCACAAGGATCAGATGGGTATCCATTTGTTATTTTTCTTCCTAGACCAAAACGAGCACTTAACTCTTGCAGTGCAGGGATAGCACCACTGCAAGGGTAAATATTTTCCCATGGAGTTCTGCCTTAATACAACATGCAGGATATTAAAATGATAAAACATAAATTATGAAAGCAGCATAAAATATAAAGAGCATGGCTGTGTAGTACCCATACTACAAAACAGCCGTCAGATTCCAGCAGTAGTATAGCCAGATTAACAAACATGGCTGCTGGAAAAAAAGACAGCTCAGTAAAACTCATCTTCATCCTCGAAAGCTTTTACAGTAAAATAACTAAAATGTTACTTTCTTTACGATCCATTGAGGGACATATGGATTCAGGAATTCTGAATAGCAGTACAGCTGAGGGATGGGCCACAGTCACTGATGGATCCAAGACAAAACCAGGAGCCGTCTGCAACAACTAGGACCAATGTCCAAATCTGAACCAGAAATAGTGAAAATACCTACAGGGCAGGGGAACTCTGTTAACTACCAAGGGGAGGTCACAGAGGATCAACCTGATGCGAAGATCAGGGAAATACTCTCGAACACTGAACCTGCATCAGCAGGAGCCGAGAGCCGATGCAACCAACAGTTGGTGCGATACAACTACCTAAGCAGGAGAACAGACCAGCAAAACAAGGGAACACTAGGAGGTTTCACAGTCTCAAAACAGATTTTGAAGGGAAACACGAAAACATGTTTACTATGACCAGCCTAAGGATGTCTAAGGATGACAAAAGGCAATAACCCACACTGATCCATCCACTACCAAAGCTGGAAGAGATTTTGATGGACTTCCCCTACAGGCTGCCAAAACAGTCACAGTATGAGTGACTACAAAGAATCTGATCCCACAGGGAGTGTCTACAGGGGGGTTCAAGGTGACCTGTCTACTGACAACACAAGGGAATACCAAGCCCTCCAGCAAACGGGTCTTCCTTACAAGCAAGTGATAAAGCACATCAGAGTGCACAAACCTCTGTTGCCAGAATAGAGGGCACAGGATGGACAGAATCAGAGAGAAAAAACAGTGCCTCTAAAGGGAACCAACAACTTAATCGTCCAGTGAAGGTAACAGGTCACTCGCAATGTCACAAGTAGAGCCACAAGCCTTCAAAAGATGGTGTATAACTATATTACCAAATGAATATCTTATGGGGCCCAAGGTCAAGGAACCTACTCACACAGCAGGGTACTCTGAAAAAGCAGGCACTGAATGCTCTGGGGAACCAGACTCCATTTCCACAAATGAGGAAAGTCACGAGAGAGGAGTCCAGGAAAGTAATAAAAGATGGAAGGGACCACACAGTAAGGCATTATGACTGCTCCAAGTACACTGTGATAGACTATAGATTCAATACAAATTAACTAGGGATGCACAGATACTTTTCGAGTACCAGTGCAGATACTTGGCATTTTCAGGAGAACTACCAGGGTTGCAGCTGGGACCTGGCTCTGACTCTCCACCACTGTCCTGAAATCATTAGTCTGAATTGTTTTAGAAAAAAACTGTCACATGGCAACAAAAATGTATCCGTACTTGTAAAATTGGTATCTGTACATCTTTATTTATATTTATATAAACAAAATCGTACATTAAAACAGAGATGTACAGATCCCAGGAGCTCCGTGTGCTCCTCATCAAAGACAGCTGCCTCCTAATTTTTGAATTTTTCTCTAGTGTAGTCTTGGAGCTCAAAAGTATCAGTACTTGTACCGAGTACATTACTTGGTATCTGTGCAACCCTACAAATTAGTAAACTAAAACGTGAGATTGTAATCCATCATGGAAGTGATCTTAGAGTGGTGGCTACAACACACACACACACAGGGACCATGGGGAACAAAAGTAGCCACCCTCCTGAAGGAAGGACAGTGTCAGCACCAATGCAGAGATGATTTGAGAATCTACAGCCGAGTGATACACAAATAAGATATTTTTGTTAAATTTTAAAATGTAAAAAGGTTCTTGAATGCATTTTTAAGATCTAACTCCTGAGCTTAGTGTCACTTTAATGGCAAAGTACATTACATTAGCAAAAAAATTAATCTGAGCTATACAAAAAAGGTATATATTTCTGCATATAAAAGATCATACATACAAAATGTTTTCCCATTTTATTAAGAGGAGATAAAAATCACATACTTATCCTTGTCTGTCTTGTAGGTCTGTGCAATGTCTGGTACTAAAGGGTCATCTGGGTTTGGGTCACAGAGTAAGGAGCATATGGACAACAAAACTGAAAAAAAAAACAAAACATAAAAATTAGAGGTGCACCGAAATGGAAATTTTAAAAACAGAAATAAAAAAAATTGTCAGGCTGAAACCGAAAATGTTTTAGATATTTTTTTTTCAAATTTAATATTGAATTAATTTTTAAATATTTTCACTTTACTTTTAGGGGATTTGGGGAAATATAGGCATCTAAACAGACTGACATTCCACTTTTAAAATAGAAAAAGAGATTGAGGACACAGAGTCCTCAATCTCTTTTTCTGTATTCCCTGTTATCAATGAACAGGAATCCTCTATGAGTGTTCCTGTTCATTCATAACAGGAGAACATTGTATGTTTACTATAACCACAATCATGAATGAGCAGGAGGTTATGCAGATCACTCCCATTCATAATTGAGGATATAATACACATACTATGTCCTGAATTATCTACAAACACTCAGCAAATCACTGATTACTGAGTGTTTGTATCTTGCTCTCCTCTCTGACACGCTGTCACAGGAGGCTGAACGAGCGGTGTGGGAGGAGAGCCCAGCCTCCTGTGACAGCGCGGCCTGTCTCCACCAACACACCGCTCTGCCGGTCTGTGATAGGAGGCTGAGCGGTGTGGGAGGAGGCGCCGGCCGCTCACAGCGCTCGGCTATCAGTTTCTTTCCTCCCCACTGTGACACAGAGCAGCGCCCAGCGGGGAGGAAAGAAAGCAGGGATGCGCCGATCGGCAGGAAAATGGCACTTTCGGCATTATGCCAAAAGTGCCATTTTCGGTCGATATGTTTCGGCGGGCCGATATATCGGTGCAACCCCAATAAAATGATATCCGATTGCAGAAACCTGTAGTACTCATGAAATCAGCACTTAGGAGGTACCCAAAGTGATTTAAAACTTGTCTAGGAAACAAATCCAGCTGATGAACACTGGCCGGCCTTGGGAGAACTCTGTAGTGCACGTCTATTAGCCAACAATCTCGGTCTCATCAAAAGGAGCCATGTATGTAGGAAATCATATGATGCCATCCATTAAGTGCACACTTAAGAGCCCAGTCACATTATGTCTGGACCAGATCTGCATGCGTTTCTGCAAACGCGGTGTTATGCATTTGTGACGCTTGATGTGTTTTTGATGCGTTCCAGTGCTTTTTTGGGGGGCTGTTCATTATCTAGCTCTCTGTGTGCAAGTAAGCTGGTGACCAGGCATGTATTTGTATGCAGGCATGTTCTTTTTGATGGCGTGCACACACCCTTGAAGCTAGGAGAATCAAAGGGTCAATTTTGGACATTATATGAGGACTTGCAGGCACATCCTGAAAAGTTTTTTTCGTTCCCTCGTTATGTCTATTGGTAGGTAATATGCTTTATTTATCAAAAGCCCCCCTCTTTTTTTTTTTTTTTTCCTCATTGTTGCCTTCCAGTGCAATAAGCGTTTTTGCGTGTTCCAGTGCAGAGAAAAATGTGACATGAACCCAGAAATCACATACAAAGACACTGGGATGCATTTTTTTGCACGCAACGGTCTGGATCTGATCCAGATATGGTGTGAATAGGTCCTGACTCCTGACCGTTTATTCTCCTACTGACTAAAAGCATTTTATCCTCCAAGCATTCCATTAACTAGAACGGTGCATCTTTTTTTACATGCAAGAGCAGAAAAATATTGCACACGCGCACACAGAATCTAATGATTACCTCGGACACCTAACATTATATAAAGATTAATCACTACCTTAGAATCTGAACCAGGGAAGAAATGATTAGGGGCGCCTTGCCACCAGAGATGTAAGGGCTTTTGCACATGAGCACTAGCACCTGTATAGCAGAAATGCTGGCGTATTTCCACCGGCAGAGAGCTCCAGGTGCAGTGCGAAGCCTCACATTAAGTGAATGGCTGTATGCTCTTGTTGGCACTACAAAAACCATACATGCAAATGGATTTTGGACACAGAATGTGTGTGTCCAAGACTTTATGCTCGTCCATATGCGCGGGTTTATGTAGTGCTGGTGTATACCTGCCAACAGCACACAGTCACTGACTCTTACGTTGAGGCTTTGCGCTACACCTGGAGCTTGCTGTTGGCAGGACACAGTACAGGGCCGGCACCCGTGTGCAAGAGCCCTAATTGCAAAATGAAAGGGGTCCAATGTCAAAATCAGGCACAGGCTTGCATAAGAAAAAGTATCTATTGTATAAAGCGGCCCTTCTCAATCTTAACATGAAGGAACCCTTGAACTTACTTTCGAGTCTTAGGGAACCCCTGCTAATAATTACAACCATCTACCGCTTCACGGTGCGTTAGTGTAAACAGTAAATTAAGACGTAAAAACAAGTAGAAGAAATATAGCTGCAAGCAGCAATAAAGGTGGCCAAGCAGTAGAGCCGGTCATAGCGCATAAGATATTGTAGTTAGAGAGATTTAAAAAAGGACATGATTTTATGAATTATAAAAAAAGTCAAATTCAAAATGGCCGCCGACCTTGGTGACCTCTGGAAGCCATATTGTATTTGACAGTTATGATGTTGAGTTTTTATATAATATAACAAGTTGAACATACTTCACTAGTGATATAAATGCACATTTATGCAATTGGATGCAATGTCAAAAAGTGATTGGCTTGTGGCGGCCATAGTGATTTGGGGATCGGGCCTGGTTCTACAAACGTGGTAGAAGAGGTAGCCATGGATATATGTGGAAAGTTTTGAGTTATTCTGATAAATGGTTTCAGAGTTTAAGTTGCTTGCAGAATATTGCACCATCCAAAATGGCTGCCAAACCATGTGGTCACATGACTTGTAATAAACATATGATTGCAGAGCTCAGAATATCCTCACATAGTAATTTGTATATGTGTAGCCTTAGCGTTTATGAAAAACAGATGTTTGAAAATTGTCAGAAATAGGTTTGCTTAAACCAAGATGGCCACCAGAGCATGCGACCTATGACCTTTATGTTTCCAAGTTTTAAACACAGCACCCTTCTCTACCATTTGGCCAAATCTCATGAGTTTTTACATAACCGTGTGGCAATAATTAGCATTTGAAAAAAAAAAAAAGAGCATCAAAATAGAAATTTGTCGAATTTGACACAATTCAATATGGCCGCCGAACCATGTTACCAATTGACTTGTAATGATCAGTTGTGAATGCAGATCATATCATGACTATACACAGCAATTTGTAGCTTTATCAGTTTCTGAGAAATGGTGTTTGAATATGGAGCTGAATTTAATTACCTAAAACAAGATGGCTGCCAGGCAATGTGACCTATGACCTTTATGTTGCAAAATTTTTGGCATCGCATAGAGCTGTACCATTGGTCCAAGTTGCATCAATTTGTGAGTAACAGTGCGCTTATAACAGGCTTTTGAAAAAAAGGCTGTAACAATAATAACACTATCTAAACACCATTGGCTTGCAGCGGCCATTTTGATTTCGGGATCGGGCTTATTTCTACAACCATGGTAGAAGAGGTCTCCCTGGACATATGTGCAAAGTTTGGAGTTATTCTGATAAATGGTTTCAGACTTTAAGTTGTTGGCAGAATATTGCACAATCCAAAATGGCTGCCAAACCATGTGACCAATAGAGCTATAATGAGCACATGTGGCAACAGAGCAAAGCAGAAGCTAACACAGCAAGTTGTACATCGGTACCTTTAGCGGTTCTGGAGATGCAGGTTTCTGAATAGTTCACAAAAACCAACATGGCTGCCACATCATGTGACCTACGACCTTTATATTATAATAGCTCTGCAGAGCACAGGGCTCTACCACTGTGCAAAGTTTCATGAGTTTTTGACTTACAGAGCACTTGTTACAGGCATTTGAAAAAAGTGGCGGAATAATAATAATAAAAATAATAATAATCTGAACAGATACAATAGGTGTCTAGGAACTTCGTTGCTTGGCCACCTAATAAGGAATGCGGTATACTTTGTGTATTTGACACCCATGGCTGCGCTATATGACAAAAACTATTTGTTGTTGGGAGTCAGTGGTTAATTTTATCAGGAGAAAATTGCTCATTAAAAAGAACTCCTAGAAACCCTGTGGTGAAACCCTAGGGTAAAAAGGAACCCTGCTTGAGAAAGCCTGTGCTGTGCTCGGATATGAGCTGCTGCCCACTTTAGATCAATAAAAAGAATATAATCATAGGTTTAAGTTAAAAGAGAACTATGGGGGTAAGTGTTTTTCTCCATAGTTCTCTTAAGGGTCACGGGAGGACACATACTAGCGTTCTCCCGTGACCCAAAGCTCAGTATATCGCGAGCTAATGCTCGCGTTTTACTGCGACTGCCGCAACCGGGACGGAATTACTGTCGAGACACACCCAGCTGCAGAAAAAAACAAAAAAAAACCTGCACCCCTT